GAACATAAGAAAGAAGTATTTATTATTTAAGCCACTCAGTCTATGGTATTTTTGTTATAGCAGCTCAAATGGACAAAGACAAGGGTATTAATTCCTCCCAATCTTTTTATGAGAACAGCATAACCCTGATACCAAAACCTGAAAAATATATTTTAAAGAAATAAATGGCCAATATCCCTCACGAATAAAGATCCTTAAAAAGTATTAGCACTTCAAATCCAGAAATATAGAAAAGGATAACATGTCATGATCAACTGAAGTCTATCTGAGGAACGCAAGGTTGTAATTCACCATATCTAGAGACTAAAAACAAAATCACCTCACTAAATGCAGGAAAATATTTTTAAAAGTTGGCAAATTCAATGTCTATTTATGACAAAAGAAAAACTTTCAGAAAATTAATAGGAGGCAACTTATAATAGAAGGGAATAATAGGAGGGAACTTCCTCAACCTGATGAAAGGCATCTATAAAAACCCTGCATTATCGTACTTAATGGTGAAAAAATGAATTCCCTCCCCACCTCGAGATCAGGAACAAGACAAGGATGGTCACTCTCCATTTTTAGTCCATATTTCACTGGAGGAGCTGGCTGAGGCAATAGGCAATTGCAAAGAAATAGGAGACACAAAGATTGAAACAGAAGCTACAACAGTTTTTATTCCCAAACAAGAGAATTTTACATACACAGAAAATCCTGTATAATCTACAAAAACCTAGTAGCACTGATAAATGAGTTTACCAGGATCATAGAATACAAGATCAATACACAATAATCAATTGTATTTTTATATACTAGGAATGTCCACTTGGAAATTGAAATTTGAAAAACTACCATTTTTAGTAGCATCAAAAATAATTGGGGATACATTTAACAAAATATCTGCAAGATTTATATGCTTTTGAAAATAAAAAATCATTGTTATGAGAAATCAAAAATCTAACTAAAAGAGAAATATACTATGTTCACAGATCAGAAGCCTCAATACTGTTAAAATATCAATTTTTCCCAAATTAATCTTCAGATTCAATGAAATCTCAATAAAATTCCAATAAAGTTCTTTCATATGCACTGATAAGCTGATCCTAAAATTTGTGTGGAAGTGTAAAGGACCTAGAATAGCCAAAAGAATTTTGAAAAACTTCTAGAAAGAAACATAGGAGAAAATTTTTGCAATCTTGAGTAAGGGAATGATTTCTTAGGGCACAAAAAGCATCATCCATTTTTCTAAAAAGGCTAACTGGACTTTATTAAAATTAAAAATGCCTGCTCTTTGAAAGCAGAGAAACTGGTAAGAGAGTGAAAAGATAAGCCACAAAGTGGGAAAAAATTTGCAAAACACAATCTTATAAAAATCTTGTATCCATAATATATAAAGAATTCTCACAACTGAATATTAAGCAAAAGATTTGAACACATTTCACCAAAAAAGATATATGAATGGGAAATGAATACATGAAGAGGTTATCAACATCATTTGTCATGAGGGAAATATAAATTAAAACACAGTGAGATGCCAATACAAATTAAAACACAGTGAGATGCCAGTATATACATTTACTAGAATGGCTAAGTTTTTGAAAATGGCACTGAATGTCAAATACTAGCAAGAATGCAGAGCAACTGGAACTCATACATTCCCGGTGGGAATGCAAAATGGCCGAGCTACTTTGGAAAGTAGCTTTCCTATGAAGTTAAACGTATACACTTACTACATTATCTAGGAATCCCATGTCTATGTATTTGCCCAGGTGAAATGAAAACATATATCCATTCAATGATCTCTACATTAATGTTTATGGCAACTTTATTCATAATCACCAAAAACTGGAAACAACTCAAATTTTCACCACCTGGTGAATAAGCAAATCTGTGGTACATCCATCCAATATAACACTCTCATTAAAAAGAAACAAAGTGCTGGAGCTGGCCCTGTCACCTAGTGGTTAGGTTCAGTGCACTGGGCCCCAGCTGCCCAGGTTTGGTTCCTGGGCATGGACCTATACCACTTGTCAGCAGCCGTGCTGTAGCAGTGACCTGCATACAAAATAGAGGAAGACTGGTATAGATGTTAGCTCAGGGTGAATCTTCCTCAGCAAAAAAAAAAAAAAAAAAAAACAAGGAAACAACGTGCTGATGCATTTAGCAATGTGGATAAATTTCAGAAGCATTATTCTAAGTGAAAGAAAGCTAGACACCAAAGACTGCATACTGTATAATTTCCTACAGCCTTCTGGAAAAGCTGAAATTATAGGGACAGGAATCAGATTGGTATTTACCAAGATCTGGGGTTGGGGTAGCGGTCTGACTGTAATGGAGCATGGGGAAAATTTGGCGTGTGTGTGTTGCAGGGGGGTTATAGACATGGTCTATATCTTGATTGTAGTGGAGGCTACGTACTGTCTACATTTGTCAAAACTCATCAAACTTTACACTTGAAAAGGGTAAATTTTGTATATGTAAATTATACTCAATAAACCTGACTTGAAAAAAAATGTTAAGAAGTATGAGACTATAATGTGGACAATGGTGGCATTTGCAGCCATGTTGGTCTTTACAAAGGATCCCATTTTTATGTCTCTTAGTACAGTTTTGAGGTTAAACAATGTGGTAGGTCTTTTGTCGCCCCTTTCTCAATCCTTTTTCCAGTTGGTTTGACCAAAACAGGACAGGAGATTGCATCAAGGCAGTAGAGAGAAATCTCGGTGTTTATTTCCTAAGCTACCTCCCCTGTAAATTGTTCTTGACTGGCTGTGTCCCTTGATCAAAGGTCTCACTCTGCCAGGCAACTTTCTCTACACAGATCCCTCTGTCTCTGAGTTCCTGTAATCACCTTTAACCCTTCAAGATTAGGGATACCTGGCTATTATTTCTTCAGGGTACTGCACTATCCCTTCTGGTTCCTCTACACTCTGCTCACATTAAATTCTCCTCAAATCACTGAATTTGAATGTGCCATCTCCTTCATTCGAGAATCTTGACTGATACAGACAGTAAGGTTCAACTTCTGGTGCCATCACTTTTAAGCTGTGAGCACTTGGGCTATGCATTTCACATAGTTGAGCTTTAGTTTTCTCATCTGTTATACATGAATAGTAATATTCCTTGGCCTGGTTGTTATGGGAATTAAATAATAATATACTAGCTGAAAACATTTTCATTAATATATTCTCCCTTTCTCATATTAGTCTCTCCTACTCATCAATGGATGTTTATTCTCATTCTATTTCTTCATATGCTCCCATTTCTACTCTCTCTTTTAAGATAACAGAATTTCTCCATCTTGCATAAATGCAGAAGTAATTTGCATAGGGGTATATACAGTGCAGAAGCCTGTGTAAATGGCTTAAATGTACCATGGTTCTGTTCCTGGAATAAACTGTTGCTATTTCTACCACTGCAGAACAGTTAAGTCAAACTTTTGAATTAGGTCAACAAAATCCACAAATAGGGTGGAATCTTTGGACTGTCTAAGCAGGGACAGATCTGGAATAAATCAGCCACAGATATCACTTGTCAGCATGTTGAGGGAGGCATTTGAAATAAGGGTAGAAGGTAAGTCAAGAATATTGGCTTCTGGTGGCATTATGATGCATCCATTAAATCTATATTGAGAGTTTTCCATCATGTGGATTCAAGCTAACATAATCGGTTTATGGCAGCAATGTCTAAACAAGGGTCCACAATTAGGCTGTATTTTTATCCTGACTTGTGAACCACCACTGCCAACTACTCGAATTTCAAACTTGTTGAGACATATGTTATCCCTGGAAACCCTTCATAAAAATGAAGCATTTTACTGTCCCACCAATTCAGCGTGCTCTGGTCAGTTCCCCTTCTAGATTCAAATTAACCATATAATTGTTCCTACACTAGTGAGTAGTATTTTAAATGGTTTTCTAAGAAAACCAGAAAGAACAAATTTATTTCTATTTATGCAAAAACATAACCTGCTTTGGATTCTCTTTTCTAGCTTTTTAACTAGTGAGACAGAAATAAGTCATGGGAAAAGAACTAGATACGGAATTAGGAAGATCTGTATTTGAAATCGACCTCTGCTACGACTTCCTAGCTGTGTGATCTCATAAAGTCACTTAACTTATCTAGCCTCAGTTTCATTATCTGTCAAATGGGGATCTACCAGTGAATCAAATGCCCTAATAATGATCTAACAACATAACGTATTACCTTTAAGACTTAATGACTTATTTTTTTACATTTCGTGTGTGTAAGATTGCAAATGTGATCAGTAGGAAATGGGAATGAAGAAAACTTTCAGACCGAGGCAGGAATATTTTGGTTAAAAAGAAATTAAAATACTAAGAAACAAGAGCAAGATAAGAGTGATTACAGTGTCTGCATTTATAGCCTGCATGTCACAGTTCAGTATTTATAGGTTAGTGACAGCCTTCCCAGTATAGCAATGCTAATACGAAGGAGCTGTCAGTTTCACTGACACAGCGCTGTGCACCTGACTGAGGCTGAAACTACTCAGTGTTTCCGTACATGATCATTTAATTACAGGTCCGAAATATATAGCAATAAATCAGTTTGGGTTTCGGATTATAATCTCCCTAAATCTTACTTTCAAGGACCCTAGTGACTTTCTTTTTAACAAATCTTAGTGCATTTCATTTCCCAAATATGATTTCTAACTATCGGAGCTGGACTAAAGCCTCAGGAAGAGGCGATGAGTCTAAGGCGAAACACAATACAAAATGTATACTGAAATATTCCAGAGCCAAAGCTCCCACTGCTATTTAAATGCCATGATAAAAACAATAGATAGAATAAATATGAAGAGGAAGAACTGGAGAGAGAGAGAGAGAAAGAGAAAAGTGAATGAGAGAGAGAGAGAAAGAGAGAGAGAAATTGAAGAGAGGCTTGGGAAAATGTTCAGTGGAAAATCTGTAGAAATGATGTAAGAGAAAGCAAAGGCAGGGATTGGAGTAAGGGGTGTATAACTGAGACTATAAAAACTCAGAGAGAAAACTCTCCATCAGGGCTGAGTTTAAGAGAAACTGCACAGACAGGACTCGAAAGTCAGAATCTCCTGATTTTCACAAGGTAAGTTAAATAGAAAAGCTGATAAAGATTTAGTTGTTTTTCCTCTTAACTATTTTTTTATTTTCACATACTTTTCAAATGTTTTTATTATATCTTGATTTTGTTAGAAATGATTTTTGGTAACATTTTCCTCTCTAAAATGAGTAGAAAATCTGAGCAGATATTTTTGTAATGCAAACTTAGGGTGGAGCTAATTGTTTGCTCAGATATTTCATATTTATTACATTATTTTTTATTTTCCATTTCAAAACAAAGAGAAAGGGAACTCAAGATAATGATTTTATCCGTATGTTAACGTTATTAATTTTGCTTTCATTAAAGATGTCCAATCTTCGGAAATTTTTAAATGTAGAGAGGTGGGCTGCTTTTAAAAACCTAGGTAGTAAAGAAAGTTTTTTTCTTATCTTTATTTTTATCACAATTGGAGCTTAAAAAAGTTCCCTAAATTAAACAAACTATAAATTCTATATTCCATATTCTTCAAATCTAAAGTATCCTCTGTTGTTCTTTTTATAAAACTCAAATATGCAAGTATGATATTAATAACATAGTTTAGAGCAGACTTAGATCCTGTCTATTCAGTATTTGAAGTGCTCTTGCTAATAAGTGATTGAATCAAGAGTTCATCTGAAACATACATTTGAGTTTGGTTTAAGAACAAAGTCAAGAGTTCGTTTCAGGTTTTGATCTATGGGAATAGTGTACACTCAATAAATTCAGTTCTTGAAAAATATTGCTCTTTCAAATTCCAGCTATAGATTCTATAGGTTTAGGAATGTGACTATTATTGGTTTCTGAGTTACCCTAGAAGTTAAATAATTTTAACACTGATTTATGATGATTTTAATGACCCTCTAAGCTATAGAGTTGATAAGGTTTTATGTAGTGGTCTCCCCAAAAACATCAGGCACATTTTGTGTCTTCTCTTTACCTGGTGCTTACTCTTCAGCGCTCTTACAGAACTTTTCTAAGGAAAGCCTCCTATAGATATAAATACAAGTCTTCTCTTTGTTAGTGAATTGCACTATTGCTTCACTCAATAAGTCATTTAAGGTATTTAGGGTTGACATTTGCTTTCTCTCCCTTATTTCTCAGGGTTTTGAACTGAATCTTATATAACGAATCATGCGCAGTAGAGAAGAGGACATGTTTAGTAGACTAGGTTTGGGAACCTCAGGCTATAATTTTAACTTCTTGTTCAAATGCTTTCAGTGATTTGAACATTTGATTAATAAAATTAGATTAATTAAGCTTGTCTCAAAGGAATAGAACTCAAAGTAAGCAGTCCCAAAACACTGTCCCAATTCTGTCACTATGTGGTTGTGCAACTTCAAGCAAGCCTTAAGCACAAAGTAGAGCTCAATAATATTCTATTATTATTGAAAGAGACAAAAGAACTAGAAGTGCCAGCACTTCTGAGTATAAGAACTACCCGGGGAAGCTCTATCTCAATCAGTTTTCCCTATGCTGGGGAATGAAAACTCGGTATCACAGAATCTTGGGGCTCATCTTCAGACATCATCTAATTTAACCTCCTTGCCGATATTTCATCTCCTGTGGTCCCTACCGACCAGATCACTTTTGCTTAGATTCAGTGGTGCTGTTGGAGGAACACAGCTTTGAAGTCAGTTAACCAGACTTCTAATCCCAGTCCTGACTTCAACAGCTTTCCCTCAGCTTCCCTGGGGCTTCATTCTCTCCTCAGTAACACTGGAGTCCCCGAGGGTACAAAAGGTGAGCTACAAGTTCTCTCCTAGCCTTGGGCACCTCTCTACACAGGCCAACTCCCATGAGCCTGAAGATGTCTGATTAGAAGCATTTTTACCTGAGCCCTCCCCCTCCTTCCTCCAAACAATTCTCAAGGTACCTCTCTGGGGCAGCGGTTAGCATCACCTGCCAGTAATTGCCTGGTAACTTGGTTGGCTTGAATTGGCTGTTAACCAGCCTTACCCCTTCTCCCTTATCAATCCCCCATCAGCTCAGGCCTCAGCACCAAGCACCCTCTCCCTCCAGAAACAACTCCTCTGCCATGCCTCCCCCTGCTCCCTCCAGTTCTTCATCTGCCTTATCGCACCCCTTCATCTCCTCTCCCTTGGGCCAGTTAACTATCTCTGAGCCTCATCTCTCTATCTATTGAAGGTGTTAAATTTGACAATTTCTAATGAATGCCCCCTTCCTTTCTAAAATTCTATATTCCCATGACACATAAGGCTCTAAACATGTGAAAAATGCATTTTTAAAATATCCTCCAGGTTACCACTGGCAATTTGGCTGCAGACCCACCAAGTCGTAATTGTGACTTTCCATGTACCTCTCCATGGGCTTCCCTGTGGTCCCACCTTGGTGCTTGTATTTCTCAGCAAGCTCTGACTTGTCCATCCATGCCAGGACTCTAAGAAGATTAAAAACTGATGTCCCCTCTTCCTCTACCTCCTCTGCAGTCGTGTAAGGTCTAGTTTCTGTAACAAGGTCCTTAATTCTCATAACACCCATGGTGGTTCTGCTTCCATGACACAAGCCTGACTATGCTGTACTGTCAATATTACAAAAACAGTGAAAATCATGATTCCAACTACATAATGAGTGATTTTTTAAAAAACAAAGTCAATAAAGATATCTTATGAACTATAACACAAAACATATATCATATAAAAGTAAATTAAAAATTCTCTTTTGTTGATATAATTAGAGCTTTAAGAATAATTATGCTCTGATTATAATTGAGATTTCTTCCCTTTTTTTTCTTCCCATTGTGATATTCTCTATAGTTGTATGCTAATCTTTTCACGGGAATATTATGGCTGAAATTAATGGTAATGCATAATACACTGCAACGTCAAATGTTAGAGTGATTGCTACTTTTAATTGTCTTTGGGAAATTTCCTTCCCACACTCAATATTGCTTTCTTTGTTATACTTTATTTTCCATCACTCTGCCATAATTCTAGACTCCAAGGACTAATTTTGCTCCTTAAAATGAACAAAGATAAAAAAAGATTTTTTTCATAAAAACAAAAAAGTGGAAAGAAACATTTTCAAAAGTTACCATATTTAGAAGGCCGGATCAGGATAATGACAACTATTATTTATTAACTACTTTGTGCCTGTCACCCCACCTGTATTATTTCTAATCCTTATAATAAACCTACAAACCAAGTCTTTGCCCCATTTTCCTGATGAAGATATTAAAACAGAGAGACTAAGTGACATGACCAGTCAGGAATCATGTCCAGGTCTGTGTAACTTAATGGCCAACCAACCTCTTTCTACTAAGGTGCTTTGTTCTATTAGAAAGTATGCATGCAATACCAGGAGTTGGGAGACCAGGTTTCCAAAGTAACCCAGGTTGTGTCAGTTCATCTATTAAAAAAACAGAATTATAATATTTTCCATATAGAGCTAACATGACTGTTGTGAAGAAGAAAGGAGATAGATGCATTTCAAAATAATAAAGTATTATACAAGTGTCAAAAAAAAAAGTTATTTGCAACAATTGTGCTTCAAGGAAATGAAGCCTTCAAGGAAGACTGCTCTTGCAGGAGGAAATCCCTGGGCAGGGCAAATGGTTGAGAGGTTGCCACCTCCCCAGGCTGAGAGCAGCTGGAGGACAGAGGGAGTGTCTTATTCACCTTCGTATCCCTCATGCCTGATATACAGTGTACACCTGATAAATGCATTCTGTTGTTGGGTATTATAACATTTATATTTTTAGCCCTTCATTTACATCTTAGAGAGTATTTTTTCATTGATTATATTGGCTAGTTTAATGTAATTAAAATGTAAGTAAATATTTTATTAAATATTATATATAAGTACAAAGTGGGATAAAGGATGAAGGAGGTGGTGATATTCCACACGATCCTCAGGCTTACATATGCCATGTTTAACTGCATTGATCCAACTTTACCCTTTGAAAGCCTCTTTATACCGCATAAAAATTGCCTCAGTATCAAGTGGCCAAACAGCGTGCTCATGTGCAACTCTACCAGCTTCCTCATCCATGGTTTTAAAGATTCTTGTTTTTCCCATAATTAAGCATTAGAATTAAATACCACATTTCTTTATATACAGTCATACACAAAGTCTCTTCTATTTCTAAGTGACATAGTTTTATATCAAGAAACCTGTAGTAATTCAGGGATCTAAGCACAAATTAATGTTTGATAAGGAGAAATCTTAAACTCTACTGGGATCATTATTGGGGAATATTGATGCATGTCCCTTTCATTAGAATGAGAATCTGGGATGTGAAATGTTAATGGACATAACCCAGGAGTCTGGCATGAACTTTATCACATATTATTGCAGATGTAAAGCTTGGGCAAATCTCTTCACTTCTCTAAGCCTTATTTCCATATCAATAAAACTGGGATATTAATATCTGCCCTGCATTCCTGTTTACCCACCACGTAAGTCCGCTTCATTCATTCGTTCATCCTACAATGTTGACTCTGTGCCAGGCATTATGTTGTGTCCTGAGATACAATGGTAAACACGACGTAGTTCCTACTCTCAAGGAGTTTACAGTGATGAGTAACTACTTTGTTAAACATACATACCTGGGCTTTTTAAGAATGAGATCTTCCTTTAAAGTGTCATCGTAGGTTTCTGCTTTCTTAAATTTTTGCAAGAAAGATACTAGAAGTCTGGTTGAAAATTCCAAATAGAAAAAGGAAATAGAGATAGTTAACAACAAAATTTTACAATTTTGGAAGGCAATAGTGTCTGAAAAAGAATAAAAATGGTGCCAGATAGACTAAAATAAGTTAACACATGTATGCTAGTAAATTGTCATTTTTCCTGGTTTGTAACATTCAGGGAAAGTCATTTTAAAATGCAGGTGTCTGCCACATTAAGAATACCTCACCCATAAACATTTTACTTTATAAGCCATTTCTTTTGGAAATGGAAAAATGTTTTCTACTTCTACAAATAGGTTATACTTGAAGGAGCACAAAAGTGAGAGTCTGAAAATGTAAGTTGTTCTGGCTCTTCTTCTA